AAAAAAAAAATAATTTTCAATAGCTAATAATAATTAAAAAATAATACTTTTACACCAATTTTTTTTTAGTTAAATCTTTTTTCAACGCATCATTTGTTAGATGTATTAATGATGAAAAGATATAAATCGATAAAAAAAAATTGATGAATGGAAGTTTTAACAGAAGATCACGGTAAAATGTTTAATAATATATATATATATATATATATATGAGGATGAATTCATTTATTCTAAGAGTAAGTCATAACTCATGCTCTATATCAAATCTCAACGATTTCAACGTTCTTAATGCACAGATCAACTCTGTAAATTTTTAACAAATTTAAAAATTATTTGATACTTCTTTTCATTAATTCAAATTGATGGATCACATATTTTTATAATTATCCATCAATTTGAATTAATTAATGAAATGATTTCTGCAAATTTTTAAAAATTTACAGATTTAACTGTATATTAAGAACTTTAAATTCCACGGTTGGATCGTTGAGATTTAGTATAAAGCATGAATTATTGAACTTACTCCTAGAATAAATAGATTATATATATAGAGAGAGAGAGAGAATAGTTATAATAACACTAGTGTAACTTTTACTAAATAACTCTATATTAAATATGAATTTTATAAATCTAACTGTTAGATTGAAAGTTCATATTAGGCTAAAACCCTAATTTGATCTCTTATAATATTAAAAAAATTAATTTGGTCCCACTTTAATTTTTTTTTTCAATTTAGTCCCAATTTATTTTAAAATTTTCAATGTAGGACTTCCGTCCAAATTTCACAAACGGCGTTAAAGATCCAAGAGAATCATGCCCGTGATTCCAAATCACGACCATGATTCTCACGACCTGGGAACCACCTAAGATTAAGAGGTGTGAAAAGAGGTGGTGAGAATCTCGACCCTGAGAATCACGGTCGTGATTTGGAATCATGGGCGTGATTCTCTCGGACCTTTAACGCCATTTGTGAAATTTAGACAGAAGTCTCACATTGAAAATTTTAAAATAAATTGGGACTAAATTGAAATAAAAAATTAAAGTGGGACTAAATTAAATTTTTTTAATATTATAAGGGACTAAATTAGGGTTTTAGCCTTCATATTATTTTATATGTTTATATTAAATTTTGTTAAAATTTAACAACTTGAAGGTAATCAAAATGTTCATATTTTAATATATTTTGAAATGTATATATTACGTTAATTTTATTTTATAAGAATGAAGTATCAAATCATCTTGGATTAATATAAAATTTTGTATATATCATTTAAGAGTAAAAGAACTTTTAATTTAATGGTTGGATTTACAAAATTCACATTTAATATAAAATTATTAAATGGTATAATACTTAGTAAAAATTATACTGATATAAGGTTAGTATATATGGTTTGGGATTAACACATACATTTGTGAAAACTCATGCCTCAGGGGACGGTGAAGCTGATGAATCTGAAGGTGATGATGAATCAGAACTTGGTAATAACATTAAAACAGATGAGTTGCTGCAATATGACTTTGCAACCATCAAATTTGCTACAAATAACTTTTCTGACGCAAATAAGCTTGGTCAAGGTGGATTTGGAATTGTTTATAAGGTTTGAAGACTTATCTCTTTCATGCAAACAACACATATCTTAATAATTTTTTAGAACTTCATATGCACTAAGCTTTGAAATATTGTATTTAGGGTACGCTCTCCGATGGACAAGAAATTGCTATTAAAAGATTGTCTATCAATTCTAACCAAGGAGAAACAGAATTTAAGAATGAAATCATGCTAACGGGAAAGCTTCAGCACCGAAACTTAGTTAGACTACTCGGCTTTTGTTTTGCTAGAAGAGAAAGGTTATTGATATATGAGTTTGTTCCCAATAAAAGCCTTGATTATCTCATATTTGGTATGTTACAATTTTTTTTCTTAACTTTTATCTTCACTTTAATGAAATAAGGAGATTTTTTTTCCTTCTACAAATAAAGAGATATTTTGAAGTTGTTACAATGTGAAACATTATGTGATATATGTTCGCTTGGGTATTTATATAGATCCAAACAAACGGGCAAGCTTAAATTGGGAAAGACGTTATTCAATTATAAGAGGTATTGCTAGAGGTCTTCTTTATCTTCATGAAGATTCTCGATTACCAGTTGTTCATCGTGATCTCAAAACAAGTAACATTTTGTTAGATAAAGAGTTAAATCCCAAAATATCAGATTTTGGTATGGCAAGATTATTTGAGATCAATCAAACTCAAGCCAATACGAGCACAATTGTTGGTACCTTGTACGTATATAAAAATGCTTGACCTCATAAGATATTTCATATTTCCAATTAACAAATTGTCTTTAGAAGAAAAAGCTACAGGTGAAACATGAAAGATGAAAGTAGATTTATTTATCTGATTGTGCTTGATTTATTATGATGTACAGCGGATATATGGCTCCAGAGTACATTAAACATGGGCAATTTTCAATAAAGTCAGATGTTTTTAGTTTTGGTGTAATGATTCTAGAAATTGTCTGTGGCCAAAGGAACAGTGAGATCCATAGTAACGAAGAAAATGCACAAGACCTACTAAGCTTTGTAAGTTGTTATGAATTTCCCTTTGCACAGTTAAGAAATCTCATTATAAATGTTTTATTTTCACTTGAGCAATTTTTGGCAGGCTTGGCAAAATTGGAGGGGTGGGACAGTTTCAAATATTGTAGATCCCACATTAAAGGATTATTCTTGGAATGAAATAATGAGATGCATCCACATTGGGTTATTGTGTGTCCAAGAAGATATAGGTGACAGACCAAGTATGAATTCCGTTTCACTAATGCTTAGTAGCAGCTCTTTCCCACTTGCCACACCTTCAGAACCTGCATTTTTAATGCGTGGTAAAAGGCCATTGCCTATGGCTATGGCTACGCTGTTGGATGAGCAATATTCAGAGGCAACAAGGTCAAGCGATTCAGGAACTCAAGGATCATCAGATAAGGCTCCAATCACCGACCCGTATCCTCGTTAGCTGTTTGTGACCAAATTTACTACTTACGCGCATTGGATAAAAGGAAATTGATTCTCAATGCAACTTATCAATTATTGAAAAACTTCATCCTTTGGAGTTGACACCCTTCCTGGTTATTTTGTAACACCAGCTTCTCTTAATTATAACTTTGCCCCACCAGGGTTTTCTTTTTCGCCCATGTTTGTTTATAAATGAGTTGATCTTTTGGTTGTTTGATTAAGAGAACACCGTGAACAATAAAGTATTTAACATAATTATATATTAGAATTGAAATTTAAAACCAAGTTAAATTAAAATAATTTCATATTAGTTAATTTGTATGTTCTTAACAGGTGATATTATTACTTTATTAGTGATTTCTTTGTAAATGAACGGTATATAAATGAGAAGTATAGTTTGTTTGGAAATTATTAAATGTGATTAAGTAATTGTTTTTTTTATAATTACTCTGTTTGGAGGAAGAGTTTTGTTTTATAGAGTGCTTTTATCTCTTTGGAACATATTGTATTCCATGAAAAATACGTGCGGTGTATAAAAAAACGGTCAAACACAAAACTCAGTCATCTTAGGGTTCAATCGCTGTAATTAAAATATCTTAAATTTTCTAAAATTATTAAAATGATATTTTAATTAAGGATAAAAGTTACTTTTAGTCTTTCTAATTTTTTTTTAAAAAATTATATTAAATTAATCCCTTTAAAATTATAACATGTCAAAGTTGATTTTTTTTTTAACTGTTAGTAATTGTCCTATGTAACAAACAGAAATACACGTGACAAATAAAAAGTGTTTTATAGTTTCTCTAAAAAAATTTAAATTTACTTTTGATCCTCCAATTTTTTTTTTTTATTAAGTTACTACCTGTAAAAGTAAAACAAGCTGAGTTTAGTCTTTGAAGGATATTAATTCCATTTTGTTTAGATTGACAATAGATATAATGAAACTATTTTTTCATATTTTATCCATTATTGGTTGTATATTTGCAACTCATTATTATGGTGAAAATCATCTACTAATAAAACATATGTTTAGTTACATCTACCTGAGGAGCATATTTTTGGTAATGTCTACTATTGTAGCAATGTTATTTTTTAAAGGAACATTAAAATGATCTAATTATATCTATTATCCAATCTTTTAAAAAAAAATTGAACAAAATGGAATTAATATCTCTTAAAGAACAAAATTGAGCTTATTTTACTTTTATAGGGACATTTTAATACAAAAAATTTGGAGGACCAAAAGTGAATTTAATTTTATGTAGAGGGACTAAAAATACTTTTTGTTTGTCACGTGTATTTCCATTTGTCACGTAGGATAGTGCCACTAATGGAGTTACAAAAAATGACTGGCTTTGACATGTTATAATTTTAAAGAAACTAATTTAATACAAAAAGAAATTTGGAAGACCAAAAGCGAGTTTGAAAATTTTTAGAGGAACTAAAACTAACTTTATCCTTTAATTTATTAAATAGGTTTTTATAAATATGTTAAAGAATTTTTAAATAATTATGAATGTTTTTGTTAGTTGAAGAAAGGTTTGTGAAATTATTTGTATTATTAATTATTAGAGATAAATGTATATTTTATTTGTTTTAATGTATTGTGATTATATATTATGATTTTAATTAATTGAGGAAATTATATGAAGAGTAAGGCAGCTAATTAATATAAGTTTTAAATATTAGATAAGATTTAGGTGGTGAATATATAATTGAGAACATTTTATTGTCTAATCTTAAAAAGAATATTTTGAAAATAATTAATTATTATGAATTATCTTTTAATTTTAAAGAGATGAGTAATTAACGGTGGTTAAAAATTTTTATCAATGGGTTATGAGAAGATTAGGGTTTAGTATTCTCTATTTATAGACTAGTAGTCTAGAGTTACCTCTCATAATTAACATGCATTATTATGTTCTGAAAGAGTGACTCTTTATCGAAAGAGAATAACAACAAAAACACAAAAGCAAAGAGAAGAGAGAAAATTGATTGTTCAGTTCGCATATCCATTGGATAGTGATTTTTGAATTGCAACCAGAGATTCGTTCATTATTGGATTAAGCTCATTTTTGGACTAAAGGTTCTTAGGATGCGATTCTTTGTTTCCAACGGTTGGATCATCCAACTAGAGTGAGAGAAAAACGTTTTGTAATGGGAGTTTTCATTTTTTTGCTTCTTATTGAGGAAGGATTAACGATAGTTGGAGACGAGTTCAGAGATTCACACCTAGCATTTGGCGATCATTAAGGTAAAGGAGAGTGAGAATCTCGCTCTAGAATATGGATTATTTGTGGGGTAGTGGGATTAACCACAGTCCTATTTTTTGTGTGTATGATGTATGAGGGAGGAATCTCAAATTTGTTTAAGATTGTAATTTGTGTTATTTGTGGTTCTCTTGTATTTTGATTGTATTAATAAACCATATTTTTGTCTCTAATATGGGTGATTACTCCTATTTATGAATCTATGGGTGCTTGTGATTTCTTTGAGGAACCTTAAGAATTAGGAAAAAGCAAATTATTGGAGAAACAATATATGAATAAGAAACTTATTGAGTAAAAAGGATTAATTATGTTATAAACATCCCTAATACTGAACAAATTTGTAAGAACATGTTTTGGAAATTAATTTTGTATAACTTGTATTTTCTATAGAAGAAACCTTATTGGTACTACATCATGCACCACATGGGATTGTTGGGTGCAAAGCGTGATAAAGAGGCTAAAAGGTTCTCTGTGACAATCACATTGGGCATGAGATCCACCAAGTGCTCTCTATGGTGATGGCATCAAGAGTGGAAGGATTCCCGCCAGGCATGAGAGCTCTAATGGACTCCTTATTGTATATCCCATCTCATATTTAACCAACATCAAACACAACAACACATTCAACACTATCAACATAACAATTCATTCTATTACAACACAATATCACAATACAATCTCAACTTAAACAGTACAACATTAATAACTCATATTTCAACATATTTCATCACAGAACAACTTAATACACACACCATATCCACAACATAACAATTATATGCATTATCACACATTTCAACTATAGAGATCTCTTACAATATAGGTGAGCAGTCTAAGTGGTTTGACCTCACCAAACCAACAACACAAGGGGACCTTTTCAACCTAGCTAGGTCAATAAACAAATTTAGATACCAATCCATATCACATAATGATTTCTTGGATGTTCTCATCACTTAAACTAGTAAAGTCCAATTTCACTGTTAAGACTAGTATAACTAGGTATAGGCGTACCACAATCATGACTTGCATTATCACGTCATTTGTAGAATTAGCTTGCTAACTGTCCTCAAAGAATCACACAACCTTTCTGGTAATTAGTTAAAGGTAGTAGCCCTCAACTCCATACTTTGCTCACATTGACTAAGTACTTAAAGAATACTCAACTTTCCACTTCAAAGGTCAACTTTCTTAGAAAGGTTTGCTCTCGAAGCACCACAACACAAAATATCCACACAATGGAATATACAACTTTAAAAATAATTTCTCCTCTAGTCCTAGATTGATTAACACAATTTAACTTAAACACCATGCCTAAATGCCTAAAGCATTCTCAACATTCATCATCTCAACAACAAATCAATATTATGCGTATAGCATTTCAAACATGGCTACACTACCAACACATGACATATAATACACCAGATACAACTCGACTCACTTTCAACTCTCAACCATCAATCATCTCTACATGTCCTTATAAGTCCTTAGGCCCAACATGAGTGAGTTCCACATACGACCTCAATCCAACTTGAGACGATTGTCTCTCCTCACACCTAGCTCCATTCAATTCACACTCAATTATTAGCCTTCCAAGCCTTGAATCTTAGCACCACCCTACAATTGAGCTTTAGGGGAGGATCACCGCACTCTAAAATAAGGGGCCTTAGAGAAGAAAAGATTCTCTCACGCTCTAAAGTTCATCTCTCTAACTTCTCTACACAATTTTAGAGTTATGAACTTATGAAGTTCATTCCTTAAGATTTGTCTTATATACCTCAGTTCTCTCTGAGCCAACTATCACATACTTAAATTACATCCTATATAACTTAAGTTTAGAGTTATCACAACTCTATTTTCCACCACATCATAGCTACAACAACAAAACAACGTGAAATACAATACTTGTTTACATTTATAATAATAAACATAATTAAGAAAATATGGTTATATAATTTTCAATAAATATTTTTTAAAGTGTGATGAATTCATTTTATATAAATAATTTTAAAACGAAAGAAGGATATAGAAAATACCTTTGGGCATAAAGAATATCTACAAATTACGGAGACTTAAATTTGCCAAATTTCTAGAAGAGAAAATAAAGGGTTTAGACATGCGACTTGTCAAAAATGGTATCTTATTTTATTCCATTTGACCAATCGCTGTGGACTAAATTTATGAATAAAAAAAAGTATGGTGAATTTGAAAGAAAAAAAAATCCCTACAAACAGATTGAATAATTGAATAGTATTATTTAATATAAACTAATTACAAACTCAATAATAATTTCAAACCAATAGTGTAACGCAAATCTACTATCGGCTATATTAACCCACAAAATAAATAATCAAGATTGATCCATTTTATTATGTTATATAACACCTTTAAGAGTTACAGAAGGCAATATACATTATAAATAGAGATGAGTGGATTTAACAAGGGAAAAATGTTTAACATCCACCCAATTTTATATAGTAGAAGTTGAAGAAAGATATCAGAAAAAAAAATGAAGAAAGAGAGAATCGGATAATTATATGTGATAAATAATATAATATAATAAAAAATAAAGATATACCAAGATAAATGAGATGAAAATGAGATAATGTATAATATAATAACCCTTAATAACTTGATCGAACAAACAAGTCTGACATATTACGTCTTTAGAATATTCTAATCAATCCTTTAATAGGTTGTTTTATTATAAATTTCATAATCTCGTACGTACTAACACATGCAGCGACAAATTTAAAGAAGTTTCTAAATTGAAAAATAGCGACAATATCTTGTACAATGTTATTCAAATTTGAACGCATTTTCTCTGGTGTCAAAAAGAAAAACTCATAGCATTTGGGACATGAAGGCACTACCGGTCTCAATTTTAGAGTTTCCCTTCGGTTTCCATATACGTGACCTGTACCCTGCGAATTGAATGGTAAAAGTTTCGTTTCAAACACGGTGCCAAAGAAATTTTGCTTATAAAAGTAGCAACAACATAAATTATACTCAGCAAATAACATCACTCTCTGTCTCTGCATAATATTGAATTCCTTTCATCTTGTTACTTAGAAAAGAGAGCAATAATATAATCATATAATGGCTGGTGTTTCATCTAGCCAATTTTCCTTCGTTTGTTGTCTCCTTTTCCTTTTCCTTTTCATGATCATATCCGAAACCAGGGCCCAGCCAAGCTATTTCCTAAACCACTTCTGTGACAATGATAAAGGCAATTTCACAGCCAACAGCACTTACCACGCCAACCTCAACACCCTATTATCCAACCTCACTTCCAACGTAGAAATCGACTACGGTTTCTACAATTCGTCGTACGGCCAAAACAGTGAGAAAGTAAACGCCATAGGGCTGTGCAGAGGAGATGTCAAACCAGGCGAATGCCGCCACTGCCTAAACATGTCAACGGCCCTTCTCACACGCCTTTGTCCAAACCAGAAGGAGGCCATTTCGTATCACGACAAGTGCATGTTGCGCTACTCAAACCGCACCATATTCGGCGTCGTGGAAACTTGGCCTTCCTTTTATATGTGGAACGCCAACAATGCAACGGACGTGGAGCAGTTCAATCAAGTGCTGGGGAACTTGATGAGGAATCTCACCAGCATTGCTGCATCAGGTGACTCTCGACGTAAGTATGCCGCGGCAAATGCATATGCCTCGAATTTCCAAACCATCTATGGTGCTGTGCAGTGCACTCCCGATTTGTCTGACCAAGACTGCAACGATTGCTTGGTTGGGGCTATCTCCGAAATCTCAAGCTGTTGTGGCGGCAAGAGAGGTGGTAGAGTTGCCAGACCCAGTTGTAATATTAGATATGAAAACTACCGTTTCTATGGTGAACCTGTTACAGCAGATGCACCAGCACCGTCACTGTGATGCCCTCACATGCATTTATGTACGTAGAACATTATTCTGAAATAATGATTGTGAACTTAATAAAGTAGCTACTAGGATGCGGCTGCACTGCGAATAAATTATTTTCTTCTTAAACTTGTCACCTGTGTTGTGTTTTCTCTCTACTTCTGTATAAGAATTACTGAATATTAGTTGCATTTGTTATTAACTATCAGTCAAGTCAGAAAATCTATTTTTATTATCATCCAATTTTATTAAAAATTATAAATTTATAAGTGAGATTTAATTATTACGAAAGAAGTGAAACTTTTATAATTTTCTAATGTCTAATACATTTTAAACTTTAACCAATATACGTGCAATCTTTAATAGAAAATGTGTTGGAAAATTTTTTTATTCACAAAATGGTCACTTTCACATTGCTTCTATATACCTGCGTTGCAGCCGCAATTCCCATCGACTTTTCTTTACTTTCTTTCTGGTGGTCTCTCTCGTTGGCTTCCCCGTACATATCCTATGTATATTTTTTCTGGTTGCTTCTTTCTTATTTGTCAACCTAACGCTGTTATTGTATTTAGTAAAAAAAATGAAAAGAAAAGAAAAGAAATGTGAGAAAGTATATATGAAAAAAAAAGGTAAAAATAATGGTTATTTAATATAAAAAAAGAGTAAAATAGAGTGGAGGTTATTTTTTTTAATTAGAAAGTAATGTATTTATAAGTAAGTTAAAATACTTTTTTACTTCTTATAATTTTACTTACTTTTATTTTTAGTTCATACAGTGTAAAATAGATGTTTTTAACCCCTATAGTTTAAAATAGATTTTTTTATTTATTTTATATGCTTATCTTTTTTCAATATTTTTTTAGTTCTTATAATTTTAAGATGGATATTTTTTGTTTTTATACTTACAGTTTTCTAATTTTTTTAGTCTCTATCATTAATTTTTTTTAAGTATCATTATCTATTTTGTGATAATATAGTAGAGGTCTAAAATTCTCTTGGATGAATTTTTCGTATAATAAATCTTGGCTAACGAGTTATCACTTGAGAACTTAACATGTTGTCAACTAAGAGAATTTTCTCAATTGAGAACATGTTGACTTCTTGGATGAGAACTTGCCGACAAAGATTTATTACTTGGAAAATCAATTCCACATAATTTTCTTGGTTGACAACATGTTGGTTTCTCATATGAGAACTCGTCAACCAAGATTTATTAGATGGAAAAATCACTTGAGAGAATTTTCTCAATTAAGAACATGTCAACTACTCGAATGAAAACTTGTTAATTACCCAAGATTTGTTACTTAGAAAAATTCATTCAAGAGTTTTTACTTAGATAATTATAAAATTATTTTATACATTGATTTGAATTAATGAAATGAAATATCAAATGATTTTTAAATTTTTCAAAAATTTGCCGATTTGACCTATGCATTAAGAATTTTAAGTTCAACCGTTTGATCGTTGAAATTTGATGTAAAAAATGAGTTATTGAATGGAGTAAGTCTATCTTGGAATACACGAAGCAAAGTTTAGTTTTTATATCAAATCAATAAAATTAAATGAACTTAACTAATTTCCTTAACTTGTGAAAATTTAGGTATTTTTATTTATATATGAGTCCAGAGGGAGTAGTAATTAGTGATTGCAAAAGGGTATGTTTTATAGGATAAATGGTGTGCTAAGGCATAAAAATGTCTAATTTGGTATTTTCTGGCATTTATATCATATTTGTGTGAATTCCATTTATCTGAGTTAATAATATTATACTCATTAGATGTTTTATATGGAGATACTTTTTGTATAACTTTTTCATCTAATAATTTGTATAATTTTATTAGAGTTGCACTAGCAATGTAAATTAATTATACCTTCATTCTGTAAAATAAAAAAAAAATAAAAATAAAAAACTTTAAATAGTTCAGTTGAAATTTTTGGTTAATTTCTTCTGTTTGAAGTTCAGGGAGCAAATGGATAAGTGAAGTCTAGTTAGGAGTGTGCAATGAAGTGCTTGTGGTTTTCTTTTTTGCTGGGATGCTATTGCTCCGTTGATTGATGGTTTGACGGTATGTTAATTCTTCAGAATCAGGATTGACCAATAGCTTTGACGTAGGTGCTTATTCTCTTCTGATTTTCTATCTATCATCCCTTGGAAGATACTTTATATGAACTTTTATCAATGGGTATATTACCCTTGTTAAATTTCACTTTGGACAAGTTTATCAGAGAGCAGAAAAAATAGAAAAGAAAAGACCTGACATGGTTTTTGGCGACGAAAAATATTTTTGGTTGGGTTGGTTATATGATGTACTGCTGAAATGTTGAATTACCACTACGTGTACTGTGATAATCTTTTCTACTTAATTAGGAATACAACACTGGAAATAATATTGGTAACAAAATGTCTTGGCACTGCATCGTCGTTATCCCTAGCCTCAGGTTGGCTTATGCTTGCTGCTAATGTGATCGCTGATTTATATTGTTTATATAGACTACATTTGAGTCCAGTTCGTTACCTATCTTGAAGCGTGACTTTCCCTTTTTATGTTTTTTTCTTTTTTTTTTTTAATGTTTAAAAGGTCTTGTCACTTTTAATTTACATGGATAAAGCATTCTACTGACACTAGCATTATCCCAATCTAGATGCACCAGGTATTATTTAATTTTTAGGATCGCATAAGTTCTGTAATGGGATTTTGGAACCTGGCCTGGTTACGTTGGATTTACTTGACAACTCCCAAATTATTTAGGGTCTATTTAAATAAAATTTTCTATGTTATAGAAGAAAAGTAAAAATAAATTATTTTTTTCATAAGTTAAAATTAATTTATGTATAATTTAAAAACTAGTTTTTGGAGAAATTAATACGATGACTTTTCGAATTAGCTTATTTTCAAGTTAATTTTATCTTATGATAAGATTTATTTCATTTTTCTCTAATTTTCTTCTCGTATGTAGTGTTCGTGAAAAAAAGTTATCCAGTTGACTTCAGTTAAGATTTTTGTTTTAATAAAATGTAACAAGTGTTTGGCTCAATGCAAAAGTGTTTCATTTTACGTTTTCTCCCTTGTTAAATCATGTAACTCCTTAACAAGTAATTAAAGACAGCTTTAAGGTTTCCAAAAGTAACTTATTGTGAGTATTTTCTTTTAAGGTGCTTTTAGTTTAAAATGCTATTGTCATCCGTAGCTACACTCATCTATTAAATTTTTAATTTTTATCTATCGTTAAATTTAAAGCAAATATTTAAATTAAATTATTTTTAAATTAATATTTTATATTTATTTTTTTAGTTAAAATTTATATATTTATCTTTTAATTATAATAATTATAAACTTTATTTTAACCTAAGGGCAAAATAGTAATCTTACACAATTATCAATTAAAAAATTCATTTTTATCTATCACATCAATCAATTCACTCACAAACTTTCACAAACTTTCTCTACACTTTCCACTCACTTTCCCTTAATCCAAACAACCTCACTTTCCCTTCAAATCCCTCCTTTTCCACTGCCCATTTTCCATCCTCAAATCCAAACAAAGCCTTAGTGCAGATTTGCGTTATAATTATATTTCCCTTGGTCCTCGCTACACAGAGGAGGGTAAAAATGTATTCAATTCTATACATGCGTTTAAATGCCTAATTTTCCAACGGTGAATACCAACTACCAAACACTTCACACTTCGAATTTTCAAACCCGTGAAAAAATCTTAATTCTTGATTCAGTTTCATTCACCATTGGCAATGATAGATATGTTAATCCAGTTATGCCTAACGGTGATTTAGCCTAGATATCTACGATATTGCTTTCACATGCTTCTAGGGAGTGTAGCTACGGATGACAATAGCATTTTAAACTAAAAGCACCTTAAAAGAAAATACTCACAATAAGTTACTTTTGGAAACCTTAAAGCTGTCTTTAATTACTTGTTAAGGAGTTACATGATTTAACAAGGGAGAAAACGTAAAATGAAACACTTTTGCATTGAGCCAAACACTTGTTACATTTTATTAAAACAAAAATCTTAACTGAAGTCAACTGGATAACTTTTTTTCACGAACACTACATACGAGAAGAAAATTAGAGAAAAATGAAATAAATCTTATCATAAGATAAAATTAACTTGAAAATAAGCTAATTCGAAAAGTCATCGTATTAATTTCTCCAAAAACTAGTTTTTAAATTATACATAAATTAATTTTAACTTATGAAAAAAATAATTTATTTTTACTTTTCTTCTATAACATAGAAAATTTTATTTAAATAGACCCTAAATAATTTGGGAGTTGTCAAGTAAATCCAACGTAACCAGGCCAGGTTCCAAAATCCCATTACAGAACTTATGCGATCCTAAAAATTAAATAATACCTGGTGCATCTAGATTGGGATAATGCTAGTGTCAGTAGAATGCTTTATCCATGTAAATTAAAAGTGACAAGACCTTTTAAACATTAAAAAAAAAAAAGAAAAAAACATAAAAAGGGAAAGTCACGCTTCAAGATAGGTAACGAACTGGACTCAAATGTAGTCTATATAAACAATATAAATCAGCGATCACATTAGCAGCAAGCATAAGCCAACCTGAGGCTAGGGATAACGACGATGCAGTGCCAAGACATTTTGTTACCAATATTATTTCCAGTGTTGTATTCCTAATTAAGTAGAAAAGATTATCACAGTACACGTAGTGGTAATTCAACATTTCAGCAGTACATCATATAACCAACCCAACCAAAAATATTTTTCGTCGCCAAAAACCATGTCAGGTCTTTTCTTTTCTATTTTTTCTGCTCTCTGATAAACTTGTCCAAAGTGAAATTTAACAAGGGTAATATACCCATTGATAAAAGTTCATATAAAGTATCTTCCAAGGGATGATAGATAGAAAATCAGAAGAGAATAAGCACCTACGTCAAAGCTATTGGTCAATCCTGATTCTGAAGAATTAACATACCGTCAAACCATCAATCAACGGAGCAATAGCATCCCAGCAAAAAAGAAAACCACAAGCACTTCATTGCACACTCCTAACTAGACTTCACTTATCCATTTGCTCCCTGAACTTCAAACAGAAGAAATTAACCAAAAATTTCAACTGAACTATTTAAAGTTTTTTATTTTTATTTTTTTTTTATTTTACAGAATGAAGGTATAATTAATTTACATTGCTAGTGCAACTCTAATAAAATTATACAAATTATTAGATGAAAAAGTTATACAAAAAGTATCTCCATATAAAACATCTAATGAGTATAATATTATTAACTCAGATAAATGGAATTCACACAAATATGATATAAATGCCAGAAAATACCAAATTAGACATTTTTATGCCTTAGCACACCATTTATCCTATAAAACATACCCTTTTGCAATCACTAATTACTACTCCCTCTGGACTCATATATAAATAAAAATACCTAAATTTTCACAAGTTAAGGAAATTAGTTAAGTTCATTTAATTTTATTGATTTGATATAAAAACTAAACTTTGCTTCCTAAACTACCCTTAATAATATTTATTTAAAACAGTAATCACATTTAATTTAAGGGGTGTTTTTGAAATGATAGCATTAAAGTTGGTTAGAATTTGAGTATATTTGAGTCAAAAAAATTTAGGTACTTTTTTGCTTATATATGAATCTAGAGGGAGTAGTTATTTTAGCTTCAAGACATAGAACTTCTACAATAACTTTTTAATTGGACATGGGAAAGTAACCAAAAGCTAACGAGAACAGTACGTTACAAGCAAAGAGAAGAGTAAAATATATGCAAGCGGTATTTTATTGGTTTTAGGTAACTGGTATAAAAAAGAGCTTTCTGTCTTAAATAGAGACATGTCATTCAAAAAGAATACATTGATAGTAACAGTTGAGTCATGGACATTTCATCACTCAATAGACAAATTGCATACAAACATAAGGAAGTAAGATACACTCTTGAGTAACTACTACTTGCATCAAATACACGAAAAGGGATAGAATGCTCTTACCGTGTTCTTACTGAACCTTCTTTTCTTTGCTTGAGAGTTTTGGAATCTTGCTTAAAACAATACTACGAATTTTTTGATGCTGTTTATGAATAATCCCATGTACCACACATAGCCGGTCATCAATTTGGTCCTGGTACTTGTCATACAACACAGGAAGAGACAAGCTAAGAAGAACACCATATATATAAATTCGGAGGAAATATTTATTTTGTTATGGAAAAAACTAGCCTTTAGCTTCTTCGAATGGCGATATAATGTTTACACATAACATCAACTTGTGTGGGTATTGTTTTAGGAAATCCTTAATCGAGTTATCTTATTTTCAATGTTATTATTTTTTATTAACAAACAAAGGTCTTGTATCCCACAAAGCTAACAAAGAATATAGTATCTTTTGAACATAATCATTTGGAAAAATTAATTTAGATTTGGATTTATTAAAATAAAGATAGATTGAAATTTGAGATTTTGTTTTTAAAAAATTATAGAACATAATAAAAATCATTGTCTTGTCTCGCAGTAGAGAAGTAATTATCGAGTGTAAAAATTAATAATCCATATCACTTAATAAAATGTATTACTTTCTTAACTGTTGAGTTAACTTTTTTCTATCATTATTGTTTATTTATATTTATAATTACTGAACAAAATAACTACATATTTACATTATATTGAACTATTTCTCTCTTTTCCTATTCAACAAAAAAAAAAATAGTTCTCTCTTTGACTTTTTCCGCAGGTGTACTATATGTGTTTATCTTGGCTTCCTTTGTCTTTACCCACTTCCGTCTCAATCAGTTCTGCCAGTCTCGGCTTCTTTCAAAAGTTTTTAAATTTTAATTTTGACAATTGAAAATAGAAGAATTTCACGCAATTATGTTTGACATGTTCCCAATTTAAATGGTGTAATATTTATTATTTTTATCTAGACTGTGTACTTTTCAGCAGAAGCAACGTATCAGAGGAGGCTTTCCACGGTGAAGATTGGTGTCATGGTTCACCTATTAGAGTTGAAAATATCCAGGTACAGCAGGGGTGAGCACTAACCACTCAAAATTAGAAAACTCGAAACAAAAGTTTGATAAATGGAAGAATTTGAACGGGTTAATGGTTAAATTTCGATCCACCTTGATTGGAATTTTTAATCTATCGGACACTCAAAATCAATCGTTGAAACAAAATAAAAGTCAAAATAATTTTCATTCAGACTCAAAAATTAACTTATTTTGATTATCTTTAATTTTTATTCTAATGCATAAAAAATTCTATTAAAAAATTTAGTTTGTAATTTTTTTTTATATATATTATGTATTTTAAAAATTATTATAATATTTAAATTATTTAAAACTTGAATAATTTTATTTATTTTGAATAAAAAAATGAATAATATTTGAATGATTAAATATATATATAAAAAAAAAGGATACAAAAATTGAAAATAGAAAGATAATAAATTAGATAAAACTTTTATTTGAACTAATTAATTGATTTAAAATTTAATACATCTCTACTTATAAAAAACTATTCGTTAAAACTAATACTCAAATCAAAATTCACTTAATTCGATAAGTCATTAGATTATGTTTAAATTTAAATAATTCGATCTGTGAATTATATCAGTTTAGACTATATCAATCCGAAATCGATCATACTAAATCGTTAATCACCCCTATCACGTACTAAATCGTTGATCACTCTTATCATGAAAAAACTAACTCGATATATTCAGAATATCTTTTTTTTTTTAATCTGCAATTATCTTACTTGAATATACAGAAAGGGTATAGTTTTATTTGTAACTTTTATTTTTTAAAATTTATTTTATCATTAAATATTTAAATAATAAAAATAATATTATAAATGTAATAAATAATAACTATGACTATTTCTTTTTCTTCTATTCTCACGACTCACGTAATTAACCATACTAACTTTTCAATTGTTAACCACCTTTCAATAAAATAGTGACACCTAACCCTCTTCTGCATTAGTCTTATTTAAACGCTACTCCCTCTCCACATTTTGAATTAATTAACAGTATTAAATGAAGTTAATTTATTAAAATTTGTTTAAATTTTAATCCAAAAAAGTTAACATTTTTTTTATTTATATATAGATTAAGAGAAAGTATCAAATATTTATTTTTTATAAACTATTGAAACGTTAGTTGGTAGAATATATTTTAAAATCTTTTAGTGTAAAAATATTTTTTTTATTTGCTCATTAGATACAGTCATACATCATTAAAATAATTTGATAATAACAAATTTTTTTAAGAAGTTATAAAAATTATTTTTGATTTTAAATTAAGACAATGGAATGGTAACACAAAACTTTTACTGCGATTATAACAACATAAAAAAAAAATTAAACATATTACTAGAGATGTAATATTAAATCATGAGTTTAATACTGCGTCAATGCAAACATTTTTATTTTGTAACCTAATTAGAAATCAACCTAAATATTAATTAATTAAAAATTTTCTTCGGTATGACATTTTCTTGTGTGAATGTTTCAAAGTTTAAATCCAAAACTTTATTCAAATTATAAACATTCTTGTTAAAAAATAAAAAATAAAAAGTTATACACATTTTTTCTTAAACATTAGAAAGTTATACCTAATACACGGTTGAATCCTTCGAATAATATTTGAATTTGATCTTTGACAAAAATAATTTTTAGCTAGATTTTATTTGTCTCTTAATTAAGTTAGATTAGTGTAAAATAAAATCTTAGAATATTGGTAAAAAAAAATAATTTTAAAAGTTGGATTACTATACTCAAAGTTTTAGTTTGAAATCTTATTTTGTTACTCTTCCAATATAGTAATGCTGGCCATGATGATAGCTTATTTATAGTTGATCTTGTAAAAATTATTTGTTAATCCTTTGGCCAATCTAGGTACCCTGTGATGATGATAGTGGCGGAGAGGACGATGAGGATGGTTGCGGTTTCTGGCAAACTTGTTTTATTTGGTTGTTGTCTATTTTTAAATTTGATATCTGAAACGAGCGCTCAGAGTGTTGTAGTATGTGATAACAGCAAAGGGAACTACACAATGAACGGCACCTATGACAACAACCTCAACACCCTTTTAACTCGTCTGTCTTCCAACACCGAAATCAACTATGGTTTCTACAACTTGTCGTATGGTCAAAATCCAGACATAGTCAACGCCATCGGACTGTGCAGGGGAGATGTTGAGCCAGAGGAGTGCCGCAGTTGCCTCAACGACTCCAGAGGCAATCTCACACAGAGTTGTCCAAACCAGAAAGAGGCTGTTCTGTGGTTTGAAAAATGCATGTTGCGATACTCGAACCGCTCAATATTTGGCCTCATGGAAACTTCACCTTTGGTTTCATTGTCCAACGTAAACAATGCAACCAACGTGGAGCAGTTCAATGAAGTGCTCGGTAACATGCTACGGAATCTAACCGACAGAGCTGCATCAGGCGACTCTCGTCGTAAGTATGATACCGACGATGCAACTGCGGCAAATTTTCAAGCCATATATAGTTTGGTGCAGTGCACGCCTGATCTGTCTCAGACAGACTGCAATAACTGCTTGAAAGAATCTATCTCAGAAATCCCTACTTATTGTAATGGCAAGAGAGGATGCAGAATTATGAAACCCAGTTGTGATGTCAGATTTGAAAACTACGCCTTCTACCAACAAGCGACTGCAATAGACCCACCACCTCCTCCCACCAATAACACTTCCCAACAAGGTACTTGTTGTCATCATGCTTTTTCATATTATATTAATATTATCCTTAATCATTCAAATGTCTAACCCAGCGGAGGATTCTTGTTTTTGCAGAAAGTAGTAACACAGTACTAATTGTCATCGCCGTAACTGTGCCTACTGTTGTTCTTGTTTTGCTCATTACTCTCTGCCAATATTTAAGGAAGTGGAAGGCAAGCAAAAATCTTGTAGGCAAGTTCAATTAACCCCGTCTGACGTTTTATTTCCAACTAACTCCTATATTGTTAACAACAACCAATTATAAATTAGAAAAAAAAATCGGTGTACAAAGCCATAGTAATTCTTTCCTATAATCAATACTACAGTTTAATAGTTTTTCAAGTTGCAAAACGTTTTCAATTCTTTTAGCCTATATCTTAAACGGACTAAATATGGGTATGTCATTTGTTGTAGTTTCTGTCGGCAATTAATACTCAAACTTACATGTGTTGCCATTGCCTTGAAAAAACTACATCAGTATTGTGGTTGTAACATGCATGAAAAACTCACAAATTGAAATTTGTTCCCCATGTGAAGTTAAAGAAGAAGAAGAAGACGAGGATGAAATTAAAATTGTCGAGTCATTACAATTCAACCTGGAAACAATACGGGTTGCTACAGATGACTTCTCAGATTCAAATAAGCTTGGACAAGGTGGATTTGGAGCTGTTTACTGGGTAAGTATTTCTGAACTCGGTCGAATGCAGATACGCTTCTCCGCTTCATCAAAACATTTTATACCACCGGTTAGCAAAATATTTTCTACACCTGTCAGATATATATTTTCAGGGTAAGCTCTCCAGTGGACAGATGATTGCCGTCAAAAGGTTGTCAAAAGATTCTGGGCAAGGAGATACAGAATTTAAGAATGAAGTGCTTTTAGTGGCCAAACTTCAACACCGAAATTTAGTTAGGCTACTTGGTTTCTGCTTGGAAGGAAAAGAAAGACTACTTGCCTACGAATTTGTTCCTAATAAAAGCCTTGATTATTTCATATTTGGTACCTCTAAATGACTGCATACTTAGACCGTCGCTCTGTATTTTACTTCTGATTCAAGACAATGTCTAATAATTCATGTGGCTTTAAAACTGATGCCTGTATATGCAGATCCAACAATGAGAGCACAATTGGATTGGGAAAAGCGCTACAAAATCATTAGAGGTATTGCTCGAGGTCTTCTCTACCTTCACGAAGATTCTCGATTGCGTATTATACACCGTGATCTCAAAGCAAGTAACATTCTCTTGGACGAAGAGATGAGTCCTAAAATAGCAGATTTCGGCATGGCAAGACTAGTTCAAGTGGATCAAACACAAGAAAATACAAGTAGAATTGTCGGAACCTAGTAAGTATTTAGAATATGTCATAGTTATTTAATTGTTAAGAGTTTGATTTTAATGAACCATCATTGAGAGCTTTTAACATTAATTTTCACCGAATCATGTACTAGTACTTTCATCGAAGAATTATAGTCTTGAATAATTGTTATAATCGTTCAGCTTAGTATGATGGAGTGATGTGTAAAACACTTTTACAGTACTTGGAATCAGAATTAAAGCTTTGTTATGAAAATCATTGGCATAATGGCATTAGCAACTAAGAATGAATAAAAAATTATGATCATAAGAATATGACTGATAATTCCGTTCACATTGATATGTAGTGGATATATGGCACCAGAATATGTAATGCATGGACAATTTTCAGTGAAATCAGATGTGTTTAGTTTTGGTGTACTGGTCCTAGAAATTATAAGTGGACAGAAAAACAGTGGCATTTGTCGTGGGGACAATATAGAGGATCTACTAAGCTTTGTAAGTCTTATGATTTATTCTTTGCCATTTAAAAGTATGGATTAGAAGATTATTACGTGCTCCAAACATTAACGTAGAAGTGGAATTCATGATCTAATTAATAAAATAAATTTGCAGGCATGGAGAAACTGGAAGGAGGGGAGAGCTATAAATATTGTAGATCCATCATTAAACAGCAATTCACGAAATGAAATGATGAGATGCATCCATATTGGTTTACTCTGTGTTCAAGAAAAATCATCTGACAGACCAACCATGGCTACCATTTTGCTCATGCTTAATAGCTATTCTCTCAGCCTCCCAATTCCTGCCGAACCTGCATTTTATATGAACAGTAGAACAATAAGTCTTCCAAACATGCAGTCATGGGAGCATAATTCAAGTGAACCAATAATTAAATCAGCTCAAGAATCAGAAAATGAAGCTTCAATTACTGAGCTATACCCTCGCTAGATTTTGGTCACTGGGTGAGATTCATTCATCATCATTCATTCATCATCAATGCTTATGGTCTTAAACTAGAATACAACGTCATGGAAGTCATGTAATTTGTTTCTGCAATGTCTTGCTTAAATTGTAAGAGAATACTTTCTTGTATTTTTCGTTGCGGTATGTGTATTTAGTTGCGTCTGTTAGCTGTCATTGTAAGACAGTTACAATTGTCTTCTATCTTTATTAAGTCCTGATACAGTATATATACGTTTATAACTAAATCACTTTTATATTTTCTCTGTAAAATCTAATATGGTAACAAAGCTTCTGGTCCTTCTTCCATGGCTTCCAATGAATGCACCATGATCCTCTTATATAAATATACCACGCATCCTCTTTGTTTAAACTGCGACTGACACCTGTGCTATGACCTTTAGCTGTTCCTGAACAACGACACAATCTGTTCATTTGGAACAACCCCTTTTTTAGATGTTTTGGTCCTGAGCAGTGAGCAACACTTCGTTTTAAATGAATGCTTACAGGACAAAGTGCATAAATATATCCTACCTATTTTCCAAGGTAAGTTGTGAACGAAATCTATTTTCCACTTAATTTGTGCGTTTGGTTTTGTAAACATAGACGGGGTTTAGTGCGGATAATCTGACCGAATCTACCTCCTGTGGTAAAGAAAATATAGCCATAAAAAATAATACCATCTTTATTATAAGATACTTGAATATATTAATTAATTTTATTAAATTTATAAAATAAAATTACAGCATATCAATTTTATTTTTTTATTATTATTAAATTTGCATACGAAATGTAAAAATATTACTCCATAAAATTTATATATTGATGGATACTTAGAATTATTTGAGACTTTAATATCATTGTTGAACACTCAAAACTCACATGTCTTCACAATAATATGGTATTGTCCACTTTGAATTTAAAGACTTATGATTTTTTTTAAAATAATTTTTCAAAAAGTCTTGTTTCAATAAAAACTGTGTATTACATAAATTTTTATTTTTTCTCATGATCTAATCACGTGAAATTTTATTTGTATTCTAACATACACTAATAACAATTAAAAATATGATGATATTCCAAACAATGAAAGAGTCTAAGATTAAAGACAACATTTATGTACCAAATTTTCTTTTTATTATTCAACAACAAACTCACATATTCTTGTAATCTATGACTATATAAAGCATTTGTTTTGTCTTAAATTTTCAAAAGGACATGCTATTGTCACACCACAAGGAGTAATGTCAGGCTCATGGCAAGAGCAAATGGGATCTCAAGGTTGCTACTAGGTTTTGCATTTCATTCCCTAAAAATAATATTTTAAATAATAAGTTAAAAGATATTAAAATAAATATAAAAATGATGCAAAAAGATAATAAATGTTTAAAATTTTAAAATAAATGTTGTTTTGACCGTAAATTTATTGACATCGTTAAGGTTAGAGTGTCCAAAGTATTGTTTATTTTAGTGTTTATTAGACTATTACAAATTTATCCTTAAAAAAGTTGTATCTGAATTAAAGAAAAAAAATATTTATAAATGATTCTTAACTTTAAATTATGTAAAATTTTAAACATACTGAAAAAATAAATAAATAAATATATATATGTTATTTTAATATTTAATTATTGATTGCTAATTTATAATTCATTCTTTAAATATTACCAATATTCGAGATATTTATATATTAAAATAGTAAAATTCGCTTCTTTTATAAGCGAAATATTCAAATGAGAATGAGTATGATAGTAAAATATTTATATAATAAAAAATTATTCTAATTTATATATAAAAAGTTTACTTGAATATAAACTTGTTGACAATTTTTCTACTAGAAAAAAAAAATCTTCATTTTCAATTGAGAAATTTAAAATTTTCATAATCACTTCTAATTTATATAAGATTTAAAAAGTAGTAATAAAATTCAATGATTTATCTTTGGTGATTCTTTTCAATTATTTGAACATCATGGATATACTTGAAAATTTTCAAACTAAATTAATAAATATTAGATATTCAATATCTTAACTAATACAATATTTAATGAAATGAGAAATCAGAACCTAAAGAATGAAAATTGTATGCTGTGTTTTGCATTCCTAATTGATACCTAAATCTTGATATTGCGTATGTGAGACTCCAGAATAATGAAATGTTGATCAAGTCAAAAGTCCATGGTATAAGACAGATATTTTTGGTTATGAAGTGACGGCAGGTTTGTACAGTTCCCTACATCCACTCACTCATTCTACTTTATTCTCATTTCATTTCTCTCCATCATCCGTATTTCTAATTTTAGACAGCAGGCAATAGAGTTGAATATCCTATTGCAGAGAGAGGATGGGTGCAGTAACAGTTCGGCCCATGCTTGTTTTGTTTCTATCTTGTCTATATCTAAGATTCATATCTGAAGCTAGTGCTCAGCCAGACGTAAGCGTGTTCTGTGATTACAACCAAGTGGGGAACTACACATCAAATAGCACCTATGGAAACAACCTCAACACCCTTCTCACCACTCTTTCTTCCAACAAGGAAATTGACTACGGTTTCTACAACATGTCATATGGGCAAGAGCCAAACAGAGTGAACGCCATTGGGATGTGCAGGGGAGATGTTGAGCCAGAGCAGTGCCGCAGTTGCCTCAACGACTCCAGAGGGAATCTCACACGGCAATGTCCAAATCAGAAAGAGGCAATTTTGTTCTATGACAACTGCATGTTGCGCTACTCCAACCGCACAATATTCGGCGTCATGGAAACTGGTCCTGCTCTCTTCCTCTGGAATGTGGAAAATGCAACCAACATAGAGCAGTTCAATCAAGTGCTGGGTAACTTGCTAAAGAATCTAACAGCAAGAGCTGCATCAGGCGACTCTCGTCATAAGTATGCAACCCAGGATACAACTGCCGCAAATTTTCAAGCCATATATAGTTTGCTTCAGTGCACGCCTGATCTGTCTTCGCTAGACTGCAATAACTGCTTAACTGGAGCTATCACAGATATCCCAACTTATTGTAATGGCAGGAGAGGATGCAGAGTTATAAGACCCAGTTGTAATGTTAGATTTGAAAACTACCTCTTCTACAAAGTAGACCCTCAGCCACCGCCACCACCTCCTCCGCCCACCAATCATACTTCACAACAAGGTAATTCTCATTATACTTTATTTCTTATTTTCTTCGAAAAGTACATATTTGTTCAAACAGACTTCTTTCTCTCTCTGAAATTAGTTAGTAGACTTTTTTATATTATATTATATTAAACTTAACCCTTGAAATGTCTAAACGAGCAAAACATCTTGTCTTTGCAGAAAGTAGCAACACAATACGAATTGTCATTGCCGTAACTGTGCCCACTGTTACTGTTGTGGTTGTTGTTATCCTCATTGGTCTCTGCCGATATTTAAGGAGGCGGAAGACAAGGAAAAGTCTTGTAGGCAAGTCTAACTATATATCAATTTACTCTCACCTTTTCATTTTCAACCTGCTCCTATATAGTTCACTACAACCAATTACAACCACTAGAATCCGCATGGTGTTATCTTCAGATTTTGTTATTATTATAATTTTTACTGACTAAAAAAGAAACCAATTACAAATATTTATTCAAAGGCATATATGATGTCATCGTATAGAGTAATTCACTAATTCTTTTCTATAAATGACAACTGTACTAGATATAAATTTAATATACAGATTATGATACCTCCATTTTGACTATACCTACTAGGCCACTACGGCATTCTTGTCGTTGTAACATATTTGAAAAACTCACGAGTCAAAATTTGTTTCCCATGTGAAGTTAAAGAAGAAGAAGAAGAAATTAAAATTGCTGAGTCATTACAATTCAAACTGGACACAATACGAGTTGCTACAGGGGACTTCTCTGATTCAAATAAACTTGGACAAGGTGGATTTGGAGCTGTTTATTGGGTAAGTAACTCGATCTCTCGAATTCAGTTCACATCTCATCTACATCAAAACATTCTATACCAATACCACCCAGACGCGGAGCTTAAAAAAATAAAATAAAATTAGAGGACCAAAATAATTACAATGAACTATTAAGAGCCTGTTTAAAAATAAGTTATGAATCATTTTAAAAACTTCTCTGTTAAAAAAGTAATATTATTTTTAATATAGAAACACTAAAAAAGCATTTAAACTTACTCAAACAGACTTTAAATCAATCATAAGAACTTAGCTAAAGACTAGAGTTATAAAAAAAATTAAAAACTTAAAATTTTATTGTATTGACGTAAAATTGTCTACAACATTAATGAAAAAAAAAACTAAACTAAAGTTTACTTTCTTTATGTTTTTCCGATGTACTTATTACAATTTTATACGTTGTTTGACTTGTTTCAATGATTTAAATTCATTAATCATTGAAAAACAATATTTTAAAAATATTCAAAATACATTATAAAAAAATGTTTCTAAAAAATTTGGGTGGGGAGCACGTACACTGAGCTCCGACTTATACAACTAGTTAGCAAAATATTTTCTACATCTGATAATTACATATATTTTCAGGGTAAGCTCTCTAATGAACAGATGATTGCTGTAAAACGGTTGTCAAGTGATTCTGGGCAAGGAGATACGGAATTTAAGAATGAAGTGCTTCTACTGGCCAAGCTGCAGCACCGAAATTTAGTTAGACTACTTGGTTTCTGCTTGGAAGGAAGAGAAAGGCTACTTGTCTACGAATTTGTTCCCAATAAAAGTCTTGATTATTTCATATTTGGTAATATTGAATGACGGCATAATTAGACTGTTGCTCTATATTTTACTTCTGGTTGAAGTCAAAGCCCAATTATTCATATAGCATTAAAACTGATGCCTTTATATGCAGATCCAACCATGAAATCACAACTGGATTGGGAAATGCGCTATAAAATCATTAGAGGTATTGCTCGGGGTCTTATTTACCTTCATGAAGATTCTCGACTTCGTATTATACATCGTGATCTTAAAGCAAGTAATATTCTCTTAGACGAAGAGATGAATCCTAAGATAGCAGATTTTGGTATGGCAAGACTGGTTTTAGTGGATCAAACTCAAGTAAATACAAGGAGAATTGTTGGAACTTAGTAAGTATTATAATTTGCTAATTTTTTAGGTAAATATTTTTTGGATAGAAATAGCTTATTAATTGTTAAGTAAGACTTTAAAATAGCTGTTATAATTGTTAAGTATGACTGAGTGATATGTAAAATACATCACTGTAACTGATTACATTCTATATTTGTTTAAAGTGGATATATGGCACCAGAATATGCGATGCATGGACAATTTTCAGTGAAATCCGATGTTTTCAGTTTTGGTGTATTGATTCTTGAGATTGTAAGCGGTCATAAGAACAGTGGTATTCGTAATCAGGAGAGTTTTGAGGATCTGCTAAGCTTCGTAAGTCTTCCTGTTCTCACTAATATTTATTCTTTGCCATTTACAAATATGGATTAGAAGATTGCTTGCTCCACAACATTAATGTAGAAGTGGAATCTGTAATCTAATGACAAGTTTTTGTAGGCATGGAAAAATTGGAAGGAGGGGACAGCTTTAAATATTGTAGATCCATCATTAAACAACAATTCCCGAAATGAAATGATGAGAAGCATTCATATTGGTTTACTCTGTGTTCAAGAAAATTCATCTGACAGACCAACCATGGCTACTATTATGCTCATGCTTAATAGCTATTCTCTCAGCCTCCCAATTCCTACCGAACCTGCATTTTATATAAACAGTAGAACTAGAAGCCTTCCAAGCATGCAGTCATGGGAGTATAATTCAAGAGAAACAGGATCAAGTGAACCGATTCTTAAATCAACTCAAGAATCACTAAATGAAGCTTCAATTACTGAGCTATACCCTCGCTAGATTTTGGTCATGAAGGTGAGATTCATTCATCATCATCATTGCTTTCAGTCTTAAACCAAAATAAAACGTCTTGGAAGTCATGTATTTTGTTCTTGCAATGTCTTGTTTAAATAAATTATGCATCGTTTTTGTTTAAACTGAGACTGAAACCTGTGATATGACCTTCATTAGTTTGTTTTGAAGTGTATTTTATCATTGTTATGGCTATTCTATTAGTTGTTGTATTTATATATGATGGTTATAATTTATAAAAGCTGGATTTATAAAAAAATATTATTTTTTATATGGATAATAAACAACCTTAGAACAACAACTTTTTTTTAGATCTTTTGGTCCAATAGTCTCAGCAGCAGATTGTTTTAAAAACAATGGTGTTTGAATGCTCATAGGGCATAGTGCATGAATGACAAACAAAATCTGAAATAAATCAGTTAATAAAGTTCCAATTAATAATCAATATCCTCGCTAGATTTTGATCATAGTGGAGATATTCATGAACATAATTGTCAATTCAGACTAAACAAATTAAATTCTTTAACCAAAATACAACGTCTTGGATCACACATTAGTTGTTTGTTCAAAATGACTCCGTACTTAACTGTAATCTTCTTATTATAACTGCATGAACCGGTATAAATAATATATTTGTTAAATATAGTAACAAAATTTCACCTGGTTCGGTGGTTTGCTGAGCTTTTTCTTTGTGCCGCGTACTTGGTTCAAATCCAACGAATTTGGAAATATAAAAAATGGTCCGGTCTGAACAAGTTTCAAGAAATTAAATAATACCTAAAAGTTTTGACCACTTCCCCAATTATTTATGTTTAATTAAGATCACTATAATCCTTATTTTTAAAAGAAAAATATGAACCGGTATCTTTTAGTGTATAATTAAAGAATAAAAGTAAAAAAAAAAAATTAATTTGAAAATATATTTACACATTTTCTCATATAACTTTATTGTAATTTTAATGATAATTTTAATACATCAATTCTTTAATCAATATCTTAAAGACATTGGTTATGAGAACTTAAAAAAAGATGCTTTAGAATTTATTATAAAATATTAGAGAGTAAATTCTAATTTCGTTAGCTATCTGTCACGACTTTGGCCTGTGAGAAAAAGGCAAATTAGCAAGCGTGCAGAGTCTGCCGACTTGGATGGGGAAAGACAGTGCAAAAGCAAAATGCATTGATCTGAGTTGACGTGGAAAATGTTTAATATCACACCTTGTCGTAGATAGTGACTGATATTGTATTAAAGTTGACACACTACAGCCACATGATTGGCTTGGTTTTTCAAATAAGTGCTCATGCAGTTGCAGATTACTTTACGAGTCTTCCCCCACTTGTGAGCATTTGGAATCCGTCAACCCACAACAAGACCAATTATTTTATTTTATTTTTTTACCAATATAAGGGAAACTTAAGAAAATTTAATTCATAAATAATATTATATTAAAATATTTTTATATAGTTATCTAATGAAAAAAATCATTTTTATCAAATTATCTTATTATTAATATGATGTGGTGATTAAATAACTTTTTATTAAATATTAATTTTAAAAGGTTTACACAAAAGTCTATTTAAGTTAAACACAATTTAAAAATTATTCATCATAAAATGCTAAAAAAAAAGTGGTTTTAATTATGTGACAGATTATTCAATCATTTTGTAAATTTAATTGAAATATATTAATAGTGAAATATTGATATATTATCATCTAATTGTGAATTATCATATATGATAAGATTATTAACTTTCACAATAAGTATTTTAATTTTTTAATTAAAATCTTAATAATGTTTTTGTGCCTGAAATCAATTAACAATGTTCATTGCTATCAATTAACGATGCGAACGTGATAATTATGAAAAGTTTATAATCAATTAATTTTATTTTATTTTATTTTTAATTCAATACATTCATATTGTTAACTGATTATGAGGTGATAAAGAGAAGTTGCGATCAATTAACAGTCGCAGTAATGTTTCATAATCGATTATAGTTTTATTTTTTCAATTTCACTTTTAAAACTTTAATATTAAAACGATTTCAGGTAAAAACATATTGTATGTTGGTTTATTTTTATTTTTAAAATTTTTTTGGTTTTAAACAAAATGATATTAAATGCTTTTTTGTGTTAATTTATTTTAGTTTGGTAAATAGAATTTATTAAGATTATGCAACATGTTACATATTATTAAAATGTAATTATATTTAGTCTAAAAAGAATAATTTAGGTAAATAAGGATAGAGTAATAAATTTATTAATAATTCTTCTTTCTTTTTCTTTTCAAAACAAATAATTTTATAATATTATTTTTCATCTATATTTTACTTTTATTTTTAAATTAAACAACTAAATTTTTATTATCTTTTTTTATTCATTTTCATCTACTCATTTTTTTTACCTTATTTTTTTCACTTATTTCTTGACCACTGGGAAAGAAAAGCTAAGGAGAAATTTAATATGATCGAGAGACTGGATCCTGTGCAATAGAGGTTTTCTGATGTTCTTTAAATCCTGTATATATCTCTTTCTACTTTCTTCTCATTTATCCTTATATCTGTATTTCTTTTATATATATATATATGCATCCGGTTTAAATTTTCTTAGCTGCATCTGCCACAGTGGAAACCCCTAAATCTAAAGTTATTTGACGTTCTAATCCAATTTTAACAATACATTTTTCACATCGAGAAAGTAGAACTGTTTAAAGTTACATATTAAAACTTATTAAGCTTCGATTTGCATCATTATGTTTGATAAAAAGAGTTGAACTAACTAATATTTTACTCTTTCTCATTTATATATTTTAATTTACTATAAAAAGTTGTTAAGTGACAACATACATCTTATAATTATATAATATTTATTATTAAAAATTATTTATATATATATTATAGATATAAAATATATTGATATATTATTAAAAAGTATAAATATAAATTATAATGACACTTTTATATGTTATTATATGTAATATCATGCCTGAGCATCGGTCGGTCACGGCCGGGTTCGGACCGAAATTCTTAAAATTGTCCGAAACCGATTAAGAAAAATCAAAGGCCATTTTCAACTGACGAAGAACTCGAGTTTTGGCGGGTTCAATCCGTGCGAGTTACAGGTTCATTAGATGGGTTCATCGGTTTGAGAAGTTTCCTCTAGCGTCTCGTGCCGCTCTCCATCGTCACCTTTCGTCGATCTTTGTCATTGCTTCGTTGGGGGAAACTGCTAAGTTTCAGATCTCTGCATCACCACCCTCGTCAACCAGAGCAGGGAACAGGGAGCTTCTCAGTGGTGGTGGCCATGGCAGGGAAAGGTTGAAGAGAAGAGGATGTTTACAGAGTGAAGAAGAAGAAAAAGTAATAGAAGATGGAACAAGACGAAGAAGATAAACAGTGAAGACGAAGAAGATAAACGGTTGGATTTGAGTACATCGAATGAGAAAATTCCAACACAGAATCTGACCGTTCAAACCCGTTTGAACCCAAAAATTGCATCTGAAAAAATCTGAAATACCTGAGAATCAATATGCTTCATCCAATCTGACCATCGGTCTGGTCAATTTCGAATCAGGCGGAAATTTTTGCCGAGGCCTACGTAATATTTCTTGTAATAATATTTTTATATTTAATATGTTAAAATATATTAATATTTCATTTAAATTTTATTCTATTGTATAATTACTTTCATTTTATGATAAAATTATCTTAATTTTTTTATTATAATAATATATTATTTTTGGACTAAAAATTTATTATTTTCTTATTCATTAAAAATATCATAATTTAATTTACAAATATAAATTATTTTTCAATTTTTATTTAAACATGTTTAATAAAAATATATATTTACTCTTATAAAAATAGATATTGTTCTCATAAAATATACTTATTTTAAATGAATGTAGAAATTTAGAAAAAATACAAAGAAAAAAAATAATTTTATTATCTTTATTATAATAATTTATATCATTTTATTTTTTTAATATTAAATAAATTACTAAAAATTATAAAATCATACTTAAATACAATCTCAAATAAAAAAATAGACATATTAAGTTTTTTCCCAGGCTTTTTCAGTGCCACGTGTATGCTTACCTGTCCAAAATCACCTATTTCGGTAATTAGTTTTTTTTATAATTTATTTCGTGTATTTTTATTTTTTTTTAATTTACTGAGGTCAAAAAGCCTAAATCTCAAAACTACGATTAAACCCAAATAACATCATTTGGTTAGTTTATTAATGATCATACCTAAAACTTTATATTTTGTTTGTTATTTTGATTAGTAAGAGTATGTTTTATATGTTTTATTTGTATATGTAATTTGCATGTTCAATCTATATATATAGAGTTTGAAGGTTTAGTCTGTACATATGAAAATTAATTCTCATTGTTTAAGAGATATTTTGGTATTTTTAAAAAAATATAAAGCTTAAAGCAAATTTAAAATAAGTGCTCATGCAGTTGCAGATTACTTTCCGAGTCTTTCCCCACTTGTGTCTAAGTCAACCATAGCATCAAGCATTTAGAATCCGTCAACCCACAACAAGACCAATTATTTTATTTTATTTTACCAATATAAGGGAAACTTAAGAAAATTTAATTCATAAATAATATTATATTAAAATATTTTTATATAGTTATCTAATGAAAAATTCATTTTATCAAATTATCTTATTATTAATATGATGCGGTGATTAAATAAATTTTTATTAAATATTAGTGTTAAAAAGTTTACACAAAAGTCTATTTAAGTTAAACACAATTTCAAAATTATTCATCATAAAATGATTAAAAAAAAAAGGGTGATTTTAATTATGTGGGAGATTATTCAATCATTTTATAAATTTAATTAAAATATATTAATAGTGTAATATTGATATTTATCATCTAATTGTGAATTATCATATATGATAAAATTATTAACTTTCATAATAATTATTTTAAATTTTTTAATTAAAATCTTAATAATGTTTTTGTGCCCGAAATCAATTAACTTCTTAAAAAATATTATATTTTTAATAAAAAAAATATTAAAAAATATTAAATTTTGTCCGGTTGAGAAATTTTCTGGATATGAGACCTAAAGCTTGATATTGTGTCTGTGATTCTGATCGGCGAGAATGGGTGCAGTAACAGTTGGTTCGGTGGTTGTTTCCGTTCTTTGTTGTGTGTTTGTAAATTTGATATCTGAAAGCAGTGGGCAGCCAGACGGTGTATTCTGTTATGATGAGAGAGGAAACTACACAGCCAACAGCATCTATAAAGCCAACCTCAACACCCTTTTATCCACTCTCTCTTCCCACACACAAATCAACTATGGTTTCTACAACTTCTCTTATGGTCAAAATTCAGACATAGTCAACGCCGTTGGATTGTGCAGGGGAGATGTTGAGCCAGATGAGTGTCGCGCTTGCCTCAACCATTCCACAGGCAATCTCACACGGACATGTCCAAACCAGAAAGAGGCTGTTCTGTGGTTTGACAAATGCATGCTGCGATACTCGAACCGTACAATATTCGGCATCATGGAAACTGATCCTCCTCTTTACTCGTGGTACGGAAACAATGCAACCCAAGTGAATGAGTTCAATCAAGTGCTCTGGAACTTGATGGCAAACCTCAAAGCCAAAGCTGCATCAGGTGACTCTCGTCGTAAGTACGCCACCGGTAACGCAACTGCTTCAAATTTTCAAAACATATACGGTTTTGTGCAGTGCACCCCTGATTTGTCTCAGCAAGAATGCAATGATTGCTTGGATCTCGCTTTCTCAGAAGTCCAAACTTGCTGTAGTGGCAGGAGAGGAGCTAGAATCATGGCACCCAGTTGCAATATTAAATATGATTACTACCGCTTCTACCAACAAACCACGGAGTTAGACCCACAACTACCACCACTTCCTTCAAAAGGTACTTGTCATTATACTTAATTAACTTTACAATTATATATGACTTCATCATCCATTTCATCATTTTCCTCTTTGGCAAGTTTTGTTTTCCTTGTTCATCCTAATCCTATGCAGTTTGCTTATATGTATGTCTATTTTTATTGTAGTTTGTAATTACTAATTAGTTATAAACTTTTTGATATTTTATTATCCTTAATCAATGTCTGAACTAGCAGAGGATCCTTGATTTTGCAGAAACCGGCATCACAATAGGAATTGTCGTTGCCATAGTTGTGTCTACTGTTGTTGTTGTTTTGCTCCTTTGTCTCTGCGGATATTTGAGGTGGCGGAAGGCAAGGAAAAATCTTTCAGGCAAGTCCAAGTATCAATTAACTGTCATGTTTCTATTTTCTACTTCTTCCTATTTTCTTGCAACGAATTATGAATTTAGAAAAAAATCTTTGTAAAGAGGCGTATATGATCTGTCATCATTTAAAGTGATCTGTCCTATAAATAGTAAGTGAACTACTTACAATCCATTAAACAGACAAAATAGGAAAAAAAAATTTAATAACTCAAAGCATGAGTAAATCACTGCTAACAAGATAAGAAATTGGGAGTCTTTACCCTTTGTGTTCTGGTTTCAAAAATTGCACCCCGATATTATATATATTTTGACTGCACCCACAGAAGTATTGTGGTTGTAAAATGTTTGAAAAACTCACTAGTCACTGATTTAAATTTTTGCCCGTGTGAAGTTAAAGGAGAAGAAGAAGATGATGAGGATGAAATCAAAATTGCGGAATCATTACAATTCAACTTGGACACAATAAGAGAAGCGACAGGAGATTTCTCTGATTTTAATAAAGTTGGAGAAGGTGGTTTTGGAGCTGTTTACAGGGTAAGTAACTCTGGAAATTCGCATCACCTCTTTCATAAAAAATAAAAAATAAAAAATAAAAAAAATCCATACAAATACCACCGGTTAGCTAAATATTAGCCTGACAAAGATATATTTCCAGGGTAGGCTCTCCGATGGGCTGATGATTGCAGTCAAAAGGTTGTCGAGAGAATCCAGCCAAGGAGATACGGAATTTAAGAATGAAGTGCTTTTAGTGGCGAAGCTGCAGCACCGAAATTTAGTAAGGCTACTTGGTTTCTGCTTGGAAGGAAGAGAAAGACTACTTGTCTATGAATTTGTTCATAATAAAAGTCTTGATTATTTCATATTTGGTACGTTTAAATGAGAGCATAATTAGACTGTCGCTCTATATCTTACTTCTGGTTCAAGACAGCCTAATTATTCGGTGTTAAAACTGATGGTTGTGCCTACAGATCAAACCATGAAAGCCCAACTGGATTGGAAAATGCGTTACAAAATCATTGGAGGTATTGCCCGAGGTCTTCTCTACCTTCACGAAGATTCTCGACTACGTATTATACACCGTGATCTCAAAGCAAGTAACATTCTCTTAGATGAAGAAATGAATCCTAAGATAGCTGATTTTGGCTTGGCAAGACTAGTTTTAATGGATCAAACTCAAGCAAATACAAGTAGAATTGTCGGAACCTAGTAAGTACTAAAATGTGCTATTTTTTTAGGTGAATATTACTAGAATATGCTATAGCTATTAATTGTTAATTTTGAGTTTAATTTCAATCAACTATCAATGAAAATATTCAGCTTTCAAGATTGTTGATATGTAAAGCTATGTTATGAATATCATTGGCATTAGCAACCGAAACAGAATGAAAATTTATGATTGTAAGTAGTCATAACATTTACAACTAATTACTTATACAGTGGATATATGGCACCAGAGTATGCAATGCATGGACAATTTTCAGTAAAATCAGATGTCTTCAGTTTTGGTATACTTGTTCTTGAGATTGTAAGTGGCCAGAAAAATAGTGGCATTCCTCACTTGGAGAATGCAGAGGATCTAGTGACCCTCGTAAGTCCTCCTTTTCTCACTATTATTTCTTCTTTTCCATATACTTAGTATGGATAAAAAGATTAGGTGCTCCAAAACATTAATGTAGAAGTGGAATCCGTAATCTAATGACAAGCTTTTGCAGGCATGGAGAAATTGGAAGGAGGGGACAGCAATAAATATTGTAGATCCATCATTAAATAACAATTCCCGAAATGAAATGATGAGATGCATCCATATCGGCTTACTCTGTGTTCAAGAAAAATCATCCGACAGACCAACCATGGCTACCATTATGCTCATGCTTAATAGCTATTCTCTCAGCCTCCCAATTCCTGCCGAGCCTGCATTTTATATGAACAGTAGAAGCCTTCCAGACATGCAGTCATGGGAGTATAATTCAAGAGAAACAGGATCAAGTGAACCGATAATTAAATCAGCTCAAGAATCAGAAAATGAGGCTTCAATTAGTGAGCTATACCCTCGCTAGATTTCGGTCATGGGGTTGAGATTCATTCATCATCAATGCTTTTGTTCTGGTCTTTAACTAAAATACAACGTCTTGGAAGTCATGTAATTTGTTTCTGCAGTTTCTTGTTTAAATTGTAAGAGAATACTTTTGTTAATTTTTTTTGTATGTAGTTGCGTCTGTTAGCTGTCTGTTGTATCAAAGCTTACTGATCCCTTCCAGGGCTTCCAATAAATACATCGAGTCCTCTTACTAAATATACCACGCATCCTCTTTGTATAAACTGAGACCGAAACCTGTGATATCACTTTCAGCTGATCCTGAACAAACACACAATCTGTTGATTTGGAAAAACCACTTGTTTAGATGTTTTGGTCCTCAGCAACACATTGTTTTAAATAAATGCTCACAGGACACAGTGCATCAGATAACAAACAGATCATGCATAATCTTAAATAAATCAGTTAATATAGTTCCAATTAATGAGCAATATCCTGGCTAATAATAATAATAATAATATTTTTTAAAATATTCTTATTATTAAAACTATGTTTGATTTAACTATTTTAAATAATTTAAAACTTTTAACATGTTTTATATAAAGTTTAAAGCAAACTTCAAATAATAAGAACATTTTTTTCTTCAGTAAAATGATAGATAGGAAACCATATCTTATTGTTATTAGACAAAAGTTATTGTACTATCCGTATTTCGCACCCGGGCTCCGAGCCCGGATTAGCAATGCGGCCTCGAGCACGTGTTGCGCGACGTCAGCCCGGTATTTGGGCGAATCACACCTGATTCCGAGGATCTCATCCCAGGCCAGATCCACCTTTCAACTATATCATATTATATCACGTTACATTATATCATGATATATCTTATCTCAAGCCCAAAGCCCAAGGCAAACCTAGATCACCTCAAGGTACGTGCATTATATATATGAGACTATTATTCATACAAACCCTAACTTTGGCATCGGAGTCTCTTTTGCAGGTACCTCCCCCATCTTGGAGCACCAATACATCAAGCAAAGGAGGCTCACCGATCTTACTGGACGGGTCACCTCTACGACCAAATTCCGGTAA